TTAGTACACATCCAAGCCCTTGGATGCTAGCATCGCTGTATATATCATACCCTATCCCCTGTATGGGTAGGGCAAGGACTGGTGCTTCGGTAAGTCGCTTCTTCAGTTCAAGGAACCCTTTCTCACACTTGTCGTCCCATACAAACTTGGCCCCTTTCTTTGTGAGCTTCGTTAATGGAGACGCCAATACAGAAAATTTTTCAACGAACTTACGATAGTATCCCACTAAGCCAAGGAAACTACGTATCTCCTTCGCATTCCTGGGTCTCTCCCAATCCATGATCGCTTTTATCTTGGCGTTATCCACAGCAACACCCGAACCGGATATGACATGACCGAGGAAACCAATCTCTTTGAGCCAAAATTCGCATTTGGAGAACTTGGCGAAGAGTTGCTTTTCCCTTAGCCGATCAAGTACAAGCCTCAAATGGTGTTCGTGCTCTTCCTCGCTCTTGGAGTATATCAAGATGTCATCAATGAATACTATCACAAATTGATCTAAGTATTCACTAAACACACGGTTCATCAAGTCCATGAATGTCGCCGGTGCGTTGGTTAAACCAAATGACATCACAAGAAACTCGTAGTGACCATATCTAGTGCGGAACGCACTTTTAGGTATGTCACTCTCCTTGATCTTCAACTGATGATACCCCGACCTCAAATCAATCTTCGAGAATACCACTGCCCCTCGAAGTTGATCGAACAAGTCATCAATCCTCGGTAAAGGATACCTGTTCTTGATGGTGACCTTGTTCAACTGTCGGTAGTCGATACACATTCTTAGTGTACCATCTTTCTTCTTCACGAAGAGTACGGGTGCTCCCCATGGTGAATGACTGGGTCTGATGAACCCGTTGTCCAATAATTCATGTAGTTGGACCTTCAACTCTTGAAGTTCGGCCGGTGCCATTCGATAAGGAGGAATCGAAATGGGTTTGGTTCTCGGCTCCACTTCAATCACGAATTCGATCTCTCTATCGGGTGGAAGCCCCGGTAGGTCTTTGGGAAAGACATCCGGGTATTTGCATACGACTCGTACATCTTTGATGTCGACTTCCTTCTTGGTATCGTCCACCACGTAGGCAAGGTATGCGTGGCATCCCTTCCTCATCATCTTCCGTGCTCTCATCACGGATATGATACAAGCATTAGATTTCCCCCGATCTCCCTCGAAGCATAGTGTGTTTCCTTGATCATCCTCGAGCTCCAACACCTTGGTGTAGCAATCTACTCGAGCATGGTGTTTCTCGAGCCAATCCATTCCTAGGATTGCATCGAACTCCAACATGCTTAGAGGTACGAAATCACAAGTCAAAGGTTGACCCGTCACTTCTACCTCACACGACGGATAGTAATGATTCCTCTCCACGTCATCTCCTAACGGTGTGGAGACTAGCAACGTTTGCGTCAAAGGTGTCAATGGCACGTCAAGGCCCTCGGCGAACGCCTCACTCACAAATGAGCGTTGTGCCCCGGTATCGATGAGGATCCTCGCACACCTACCATTGATCTTTAATGTTCCTACATTTGTACACCATGTAAGATACATTTCCTAATGTTTTTACACATCTTTAGGAGGTTATTAAGTTAATACTAAAGTTTGGAATCAAACGGGGGTCCAAACGTAGAAGAACGGGGCGAAAAAATAAATTTTCGGGGGTTGGGGGTCCACGCACGGCGTGCCTGGGTGGCACGCACAGCCGTGCGTGCAATGAACCCTCCCTGCTTGCCACTGCCGGCCAGGCACGATGCCACGCACGGCGTGTCTGCGACCGTGCCTGGCCGAATTTCTTCGGGGCGATACTGCCTTCCAGGCACGGTGCCATGCACGGCGTGCCTGCGGCCGTGCCTGGCCGATTTTTCTTTGGGGTGCCACTGCCTCCCAGGCACGGTGCCACGCACGGCGTGCCTGCGGGCGTGCCTGGCCGGCAGTGGATGTGTTCCAGCTGTTTTGGCCTAACTTGCCCGGTTTGACCCCGGGGTGGCCCGCACTCAATCCCAACGACGTATATGATCAAAGTAAGCCTAGAAATGCCCAAAATAAGTGTATTACCTGCGACGGAGTCCGGGTTTGCCCGCGCATCCGCCTCGGTCATCGCGTAGACTCGTGCTTGGGTCCCACCTTGGTTGACGGATGCGGCATGGCTTGTGGATGCACCGCCTCTTCCCGTACCGCCGTTTGACGGTCCCGCACGGTTTCTTCCCGTCATGGTCCCTCCCCCGGCTCCCGAGGCACTCTCTTGCATCAATTGAGGGCAATTGGCCTTCATATGACCCGCATTCCCACACTTAAAACACCTCGGTGGTTCATTGCACCTCCCAAAGTGTTGTTTTGAGCAATTGGGACATCTAGGTGGCCCCGAGTTCTGTGGCCTAGGTCCGTGCCACCTCGCATCCCTATTCTTCTTTGCCGGTGGAGCCGGCGCCTTGAATGAACCACCGCCACCACCACCACCCCCGTGGTTGTTCTTTCGAGAATGATCGGGTGGCCCCGAATTATTCCACTTCCTCTTCTTCGCCTCTTCGGCGTCCCTTGCTTTCCTCTCATTCCACTGGGCCTCTCCAAGCATGCCCTGCTCTACCACCTCACTAAAGGTCATGAGGCGGGAATACGTGGCACGATCTCGGATGTCCAAGAGTAGGGCATCCCAGAAGTGCTCAGTCATGCGGTCCTCATCGATCGCATACTCCGGTAAGAACTTAGCCAAGGTCCTAAACTCTTGCTCCAGTTGCTTAACCGTGCAACCCTCTTTCTGCTTGAGGTTGGTATACTCCCTCCTTTTCACATTAACCTCAAAATCGGAGTAGTATTGAGCATAAAATTCTTGCTCAAAATTTTCCCATGAGATGTCCCCACGGTATTTCCCTTCTACACCTTCCCACCATGTAGAAGCCATCCCCTCAAGTAGCCGTGAAGCGACAGTTAGCTTCACGTCCGGAGTAATCTGCATGTCTCTCGATGCATCCTTCACCTTCTTGATCCAATCGGCGGCAACGGTAATGTCGCCGGTGCCGTCGAAGGACCTACACCCCAAGGCCCTAGCCTCCTTGAGGTATTTGGAGATTCTTACCACAAAACCTCCTTCATGCCCACCTTGTGGCGCCGCTGGGGTGGCCACGGAAGCTCCCCGACTTCCTTGACCCGAACCACCACGAGAGCCACGCCTCGCTTGGCGCCTAAGGTCTCTCCTCAGTTTCTCCTTTTGATACCACTCAAGTTGTCACGCCCCGGACCCCCCCGGACACGTCAACAACCCGCCGTACAATACGAATAGTCAACCGCAGTCCAACACATTCATATTATACAAGGCGTCTCGAATATCATTCACATGTAAGCCATCCATAAACAAACATAATAAGTAATTCGTAATGCAGCGGAAAACATTGTTTAAAACAAAAAGGCCACACCGGGCTATTCATGAGCACGCAGGCTCCATAGTAAAATATCCATGAGCATGTTTATTAATGTTTAAAATCCGAATGGAGGAAGCACGAACCAAGTCTTCGCTCCTAGATGATCTCTCGAGCAACGAGCACAGGAAGCAAGCTCTAGCCTCAACCTGAAAAATGGTGGTGGGACGCCCCCGAAGGGGTCAGCACTCTATAGGGCTATAAAGTGCTGGTGTGGATGGCATCTAATAGATATACAACAAGTATTTCAAACACAAGACCCTCAAATACGGTGATAGTATAATCTAGGTCGTAACCCCAAGTTACCCCTTTTTTAAAAATATACTTACTTTATATATAAAGTCAAGTAGTCGGCCCGTAGGCCCAAGGTTTGTTTATCAAACATACCCCAAAATCCCGTGACCCCTAGTCACAACAATACATAGGGTTCAACCCTAACACGTATGTTTGCATTCTCGAGTCCAACTCGACTACATCACCATGCACCTTAATTAACATAAGCTAACTACTCCACCGTGCATTTCTCGAGTCCAACTCGACTACATCACCATGCACCTTAATTAACATAAGCCAACTACTCCACCGTGCATTTCTCGAGTCCAACTCGACTACATCACCATGCACAACAATCACCTCATCATGTCTACCCAATGCAATTCTATGAGCACGGGCTCAAGTACATCTCCTTACATTGGCATAGACCCCAATTCCTAAGCACTCACTATGCCTAGAATTGTAATATCAATAATCTATTTTGGGACATCCCTACGGACTGCCCAACCATGGTCTTAGCATCACATTACATCAAATTTGTCACTTGCATCACAATCAAGTACATCAAATATAATCAAATCTTAGATTCAATTCCCTTAACAATTACAACAATCATTAACTAGTATTTCAATACTATTAAGATTATTCTTATCCATCATATATTCCATTTGTAAAACCCTACATATTTAGAGATATGTAGCAGCAACTTAATCATTCAATGTAATACATAAATAATCATTTATGTATCTACACAATTCACACATGAGTAAAATGCCTATTTCACACAATAGTTCATTTAACTCCATTTTTGTCTATACTTTACCAAATCATTTCCCATTTCATTCTTTGGAAAATAGATCAATATTCCATCAATAATTTATCATCATAATCCATGGAAAACATTATTTAGGCATTTAGGTAATCTCATGCTTAACCTACAAGTTGTAAGCAACTAGATGTCGATCCTCACCTCAAATGAGCTTTAAAACTTTCCTTCTCGATCCAATGACCAAAGCCTCGGCTAAGGAAGATTGGGAACTAGTTCCTTACTTGAAAATGGGTGCTAAACAGCCTCCTCAAGTTGCTATTTCAAATCCGAATCGTTGATACGAAAACAGCCCCTAGAACGGGTGTTTTCCGGCTAACTCGATTCATAGTTTTCCAATATTTGCATCTAGGTTAGTATCTAACCTTTATATCAACAAAATAACTTTATAAGGACATATTATACACTTGGATTAGTGTATAATAGTCCCACCAATCTTTCATATCATTTGGAGAATGAAAAGTAAAGTTTTGGGGTTAAAACTCACTTTAGAAGAGTAGATCCGTCTCTGCGAGGTTGTGTTTTGCTCGGACGATTTGGAAGCCTTCCACTACTCCGATTGATGCAAACCAGCCCTTCAAAGATTCCTCGTCTTGAGAGCTTTCTTTTGGTATCTCACACGCCTTAATTGGATTGGTATAACTCGAGATGTCAACCAAACAGTCTCAGCACTCTCACAGCTCGAGTTTACAGACCACCACTCACTTCAGCTCGATTCTGGTAAGATAATCTCTCTCTCCTCGAACAAAGACCACTCAATTGAGATACTAGACTTCAAAGGCTATCCAAGGACACCTTATACACCTCATTTGGTCGAGTACAACTCCCATAATGAGCGGAGACAACCAGCACACAATTTTGTGCGAAAATAGGGATGGTGGCCCAACATTTGATTCCTATCAAGTCTTGTGCAGCTCCTCTCCATGGTGGTCGGCCAAGGTAAGTTTCCTAACCCATTTTTATTTGTCTTTCAGGTACTAATATCATGTGGAGTGGTTCCCAATTGATCCCAATCATTTTGGGATCCAAACTATCTACCAATACTTCCAAAAATGGGGAAAATGGGTCCTATTGTTTTATCTTTGTCAAAAGATGTCTTTTTGTACTCATCCTAATTTATTTAGAACAAGTCAACTTCCTAAATCACATTATTGATCTCCAATATGTGTAGGCTCATCCCAATTATTTACATGATGGACATTATAGAAGGACAATCCTATTCCCATTATTTAGCTCAATAATGTCAAAGATGGGATCATAGGCATTTGTATTCATCTCAAATCATCCTATCACTTATTTTGACATTTGTTATCCATATTATCGGGCTACTAGCCGTGTGGGTCGCCCCCGAGTGGGCCTACGACGCCGTCCTCGAATACTTGCTATTTTAGCGGGTTGAGCCCAAAATAATATCTGGGCTGCCCGCCCTTCTTCAACTTGTCCTGAAACGTTATGTATCGCTACTTAGATAATGTTAGGCTCTTTTATTTATTAATAAGGCCCAAATGAGTATTCACAAGCCCGACACTAATATGCGAGTTCGGACGGTATAATAATCGATCATTAATTACGTAAAATCATCAATCATTTACAATTGTTTGGGAATCAGAAATTCAATACGTAAACTTTGAATTTTTAACTTGAATTTTTCAAGGACGTTCGGGTGCGGTGTCACAAGTTCACCCCCCCTTAACAGGAATTTCGTCCCCGAAATTCACAGCTCTACTCGAATAGGAAAGCATACTGCTTCCTCATCAAAGCCTCTGTTTCCCATGTCTCTTCTTCGACCCGGTCGCTCTTCCAAAGTACTTTAACCATTGGGACTTCTTTACTCCTCTGTTTCTTCACCTTTCTTGCTGATGTTCTGCCTTAACCTGCTCACAAGTAAGGCATCGACTGATGTACTCGGCTATTTCCCTCTTCATTCCAGACCACCAGTAACTTCCTTTCAAATCACGGTACATTTTCGTGCCCCCCGGGTGCATGGCATAAGCCGATGAACGAGCCTCCTCTAAGATGGACTTTCGGAGCTCATCGTCTAACGGTACACACACTCGGTCACGAAATAACAAGAGACCATCATCTCTTTCCCTGAAATCCTCCACCGGTCCCGCTTGCATGCGTTCCCGGACCTTCATAAGTTCTGCGTCAGTCACTTGACCCTTCTTGATCTCATCAGGTAAGGTCGGTCTCGCTTCAAATCGTGCCAATAAGGCACCGTCGCTAGATACATCCAATTGGGCCCTCAGTGCCCTCAAACTAGTCAACAATGCCCCAGACGAACTCTTCCGACTCAGGGCATCTGCTACAACGTTTGCCTTGCCTGGATGGTACTCAAAACTAGATGGTAGTCCTTTATCAACTCCATCCACCGTCTCTGTCTCATGTTTAACTCTTTCTGAGTAAACACGTACTTCAAGCTCTTATGATCAGTATATATGTGACATGTCTCTCCGTAGAGATAATGTCTCCAAATCTTCAGTGCAAACACTACTGCTCCCAGCTCCAGGTCATGGGTAGGGTAATTTACCTCATGCTTCTTCAACTGTCGTGAAGCATAGGCAATTACTCTCCCCTCCTGCATCAACACACACCCAAACCCTTGGATGCTCGCATCGCTATAGACATCGTACCCCACACCCTGTTTGGGTAATGCAAGTACCGGTGCCTCGGTCAATCTCCTTTTTTTTTTTTAGTTCCATGAACCCTTTCTCACATTTATCATCCCATACAAACTTAGCTCCTTTACGAGTGAGCTTCGTCAATGGTGATGCCAAAACAGAGAACTTCTCCATGAACTTTCTGTAGTAGCCTGCCAATCCAAGGAAACTACGAATTTCCTTGACGTTCTTCAGCCGCTCCCATTCAGTAATGGCCTCTATCTTCTTGTTATCAACAGCAATTCCCGATCCTGAAACCACGTGCCCGAGAAAGCCAATCTCCTTTAGCCAAAATTCACACTTGGAAAATTTGGCATAGAGTTGCTTCTCCCGTAGTGTCTCAAGAACGAGTATCAAGTGCTCTTCATGCTCTTCTTCACTCTTTGAGTAAGTCAAGATGTCATCTATGAACACAATCACGAATCGATCCAAGTATTTATGGAATACTCGGTTCACCAAGTCCATGAATGCCGTCGGGGCGTTTGTTAACCCAAACGACATAACAAGGAACTCAAAATGCCCATACCTTGTGCGGAAAGCACTCTTTGGTATGTCGTCTTCCTTAATCTTCAATTGATGGTAACCCGACCTCAAATCGATCTTTGAAAACACGGTTGCCCCTCGTAGTTGGTCAAACAAGTCATCAATTCTAGGCAAAGGATACCTATTCTTGATTGTGACCTTGTTCAGTTGACGATAGTCAATGCACATTCGAAGTGTCCCATCTTTCTTTTTCACAAAAAGAACCGGTGCTCCCCACGGGGAGTGGCTTGGTCTAATGAAACCATTATCCAAAAGCTCTTGCAATTGGGTTTTCAACTCGTTAAGTTCAGCGGGTGCCATACGATATGGCGGTATGGAGATTGGTTTGGTGTCGGGCTCGACCTCGATCACAAATTCAATCTCCCTACCAGGTGGAAGCCCCGGCAGGTCCTTTGGGAAGACATCCGGGTACTTACCAACCACCCTCACGTCGTCGATGTTCGATTCCTCCTTGGTCTTGTCAACCACGTATGCTAGATAAGCGTGGCATCCCTTTCTCATCATACTTCTCGCCCTCACAGCGGATATGATACAGCTGTTTGATTTGCCTCGGTCCCCCTCGAAGCGTAGGGTATCCCCATCGTTGCCTTCGAGTTCCAAGACCTTTGTGTAGCAATCTACCCTAGCATGATGCTTTTCTAGCCAATCCATCCCTAGGATTGCATCGAACTCCATCATACTCTGCGGTACGAAAACACACGTCAAGGTTTGGCCACCGATTTCCACCACACAAGATGGATAGTACTTGGTTCTTTCAACGTCTTCCCCTAGTGGTGTTGATACCACTAAGGTTTGTGTCATTGGTATTGATTGTATCTCTAAGCCCTCGGCGAACGCCTTACTTACGAATGAACGTTGCGCTCCGGTATCGATAAGGATCCTCGCGCACCTACCATTGATCTTTAATGTTCTTACATGTATACACCATGTGAGATACCTTTTCTAATGTTTTTACACATCATTAGGAGGTTATTAGGTTCATATTAATGTTTGGAATCAAACGGGGGTCCAAACGTAGAAGAACGGAGCGAAAAACTAAGTTTTCGGTTGCCGGGGGTTCACGCACGGCGTGCCTGGGTAGCACGCACGGCCGTGCGTGCATAGGAGTCCCCATGCTCGCCACTGCCTCCCAGGCACGGTGCCACGCACGGCGTGCCTGCAACCGTGCCTGGCCGGATTTCCTCGGAGAGGCCACTGCCTTCCAGGCACGGTGCCACGCACGGCGTGCCTGCGACCGTGCCTGGCCGGAATCCCTCCGCGAGGCCACTGCCTCCCAGGCACGGTGCCACGCACGGCGTGCCTGCGGGCGTGCCTGGCCGGCAATGGCCGTTTCCAGCCTGATTCGTCCTAACTCACCCGGTTTGGCCCCGGGGTGGCCCGCACCCAATCCTAACGACGTACATGATCAAAGTACGCCTAAAAATGCCCAAAATAAGTGTATTACCTGCGACGGAGTCGGGATTATCCCGAGCATCTGCCTCGGTCATTGCGTACACTCTCGCTTGAGTCCTTCCTTGATTCACGGACGGCGCGTTGCTTGCGCTTGCTCCCCCTTGCCCCCTGGACGCTTGTGAAGTCCCGGCTTGATTCCATGTCCCGGTATTACCACTACTTGGCCCTGATGCCCTTGTCCCGCCCAGTTGTGGGCAACTCATCTTCATGTGTCCGGTGCTCCCGCATTGGTAGCATCTAGGAGGGTCACGGCATTTCCCCGGGTGGTTCCTCTTGCAATTCTTGCAACGAGTCACCCCCGAGGCTTGTGATTGCCTGCCCGGGCCTTGACTTCCCCTAGATGGCGGTGGGGGTGTCCGAAAAGATCCCCCTCCCCCATGGTTCCCCTTTTTGCTAGGACCTTGAGGTCCAAGGTTCTCCCACTTTCTCTTCTTCGCCTCTTCGGCGTTTTTCAACTTCCTCTCTTCCCATTCTTTCTCTCCTTTTAACCCTTGCTCGACCACTTGGCTAAAGGTCATGTTAGGCAACTGTGTTGCCCTCTCACGCACCTCCAGGTCTAAGGCATCCCAGAAGTGATTTACCATCCGGTTCTCGTCACACACATACTCCGTTATGAATTCCGCGAGCTCCCTGAATTTGTGTTCAAGTTGCCTCACCGTCATTTTGCCTCCTTGGGTCAGGAGGGTATACTCTCTCCTCTTAGCGTTCACCTCAAAATCAGAATAGTATTGGGCAAAGAACTCCTGTCGGAAATTCTCCCAAGTCACAGTATTGCCATACTTTCCCTTGACTCCGTCCCACCATGTGGATGCCATACCTTCAAGCAATCTCACCGCCACCCTTAGTTTAAATTCGGGGGTGAGTTGCATATCAAGGGCTGCTTCGTTCAACCTCTTGATCCATTCCGCGGCGACCGAGATGTCGCCTGCTCCGTTGAAGGGTTTGCACCCCAAATCTCGTGCCTCTTTGATGTACTTGGAGATCCTTATGATTGGACCTCCATCACCCCGGCCCCCATGTGGTTCAACGTGGGCCCGAGAATCGCCATGGCTTCTTCCTCTTGAAGCCTCACCCGAAATTCGCCCTCCCCGGCGCCTTCGGCGTTCCCTCCTTTCCTCGCGCTCCCGTTGATATTGTTGGAGCAGCGCCTCAATTCTTGCTAGGGAGTCATTCTCCCCCTCTTCATCACTTACATCATCGTCATCCCCTTCGTAAGGGGTCTCAACCGGCTCGATTTCCGGTTGGTAAGTCGAGTCCTCATAGGACCAGTAGGTTTCACTTTGTGTGTCAACATGACCGTCACTCACGGTCTGTGACCGGCCTCCATGGCCAGCTCCTCTAGATGCCCTAGAGGTCCTTCGACTGCCCTGTCCAGTCTCCACTGGTACACGGCCGGTCGGGTTTCTCCTAGTAATCCTGCCACCACGGTCCATTTCTGAAAGAAGTTTGGAAAGAGTCATTAGACTCGTATCAAATGTCAATTGACGGATAGGTACTTAAGACACATTTTGGCTCGAGTCGCCGCCATACCAATTGCTAAGGGTACCATCTTAACAATTAGAGACCTTGCAACCCAAGTACCAAAAGCTCTCCAAGTACAAAACTTCTATGCTCATGGTTTTCAAAATCTTTTCAAAAAGAGAATTTTGAGACTTCCTTATGAAGTTTATGGACTAAGGCTCTGATACCAACTTAATTGTCACGCCCCGGACCCCCCCCCGGACACGTCAACAACCCGCCGTACAATACGAATAGTCAACCGCAGTCCAACACATTCATATTATACAAGGCGTCTCGAATATAATTCACATGTAAGCCATCCATAAACAAACATAATAAGTAATTCGTAATGCAGCGGAAAACATTGTTTAAAACAAAAAGGCCACACCGGGCTATTCATGAGCACGCAGGCTCCATAGTAAAATATCCATGAGCATGTTTATTAATGTTTAAAATCCGAATGGAGGAAGCACGAACCAAGTCTTCGCTCCTAGATGATCTCTCGAGCAACGAGCACAGGAAGCAAGCTCTAGCCTCAACCTGAAAAATGGTGGTGGGACGCCCCCGAAGGGGTCAGCACTCTATAGGGCTATAAAGTGCTGGTGTGGATGGCATCTAATAGATATACAACAAGTATTTCAAACACAAGACCCTCAAATAGGGTGATAGTATAATCTAGGCCGTAACCCCAAGTTACCCCTTTTTTAAAAATATACTTACTTTATATATAAAGTCAAGTAGTCGGCCCGTAGGCCCAAGGTTTGTTTATCAAACATACCCCAAAATCCCGTGACCCCTAGTCACAACAATACATAGGGTTCAACCCTAACACGTATGTTTGCATTCTCGAGTCCAACTCGACTACATCACCATGCACCTTAATTAACATAAGCTAACTACTCCACCGTGCATTTCTCGAGTCCAACTCGACTACATCACCATGCACCTTAATTAACATAAGCCAACTACTCCACCGTGCATTTCTCGAGTCCAACTCGACTACATCACCATGCACAACAATCACCTCATCATGTCTACCCAATGCAATTCTATGAGCACGGGCTCAAGTACATCTCCTTACATTGGCATAGACCCCAATTCCTAAGCACTCATAATGCCTAGAATTGTAATATCAATAATCTATTTTGGGACATCCCTACGGACTGCCCAACCATGGTCTTAGCATCACATTACATCAAATTTGTCACTTGCATCACAATCAAGTACATCAAATATAATCAAATCCTTAGATTCAATTCCCTTAACAATTACAACAATCATTAACTAGTATTTCAATACTATTAAGATTATTCTTATCCATCATATATTCCATTTGTAAAACCCTACATATTTAGAGATATGTAGCAGCAACTTAATCATTCAATGTAATACATAAATAATCATTTATGTATCTACACAATTCACACATGAGTAAAATGCCTATTTCACACAATAGTTCATTTAACTCCATTTTTGTCTATACTTTACCAAATCATTTCCCATTTCATTCTTTGGAAAATAGATCAATATTCCATCAATAATTTATCATCATAATCCATGGAAAACATTATTTAGGCATTTAGGTAATCTCATGCTTAACCTACAAGTTGTAAGCAACTAGATGTCGATCCTCACCTCAAATGAGCTTTAAAACTTTCCTTCTCGATCCAATGACCAAAGCCTCGGCTAAGGAAGATTGGGAACTAGTTCCTTACTTGAAAATGTGTGCTAAACAGCCTCCTCAAGTTGCTATTTCAAATCCGAATCGTTGATACGAAAACAGCCCCTAGAACGGGTGTTTTCCGGCTAACTCGATTCCTAGTTTTCCAATATTTGCATCTAGGTTAGTATCTAACCTTTATATCAACAAAATAACTTTATAAGGACATATTATACACTTGGATTAGTGTATAATAGTCCCACCAATCGTTCATATCATTTGGAGAATGAAAAGTAAAGTTTTGGGGTTAAAACTCACTTTAGAAGAGTAGATCCGTCTCTGCGAGGTTGTGTTTTGCTCGGACGATTTGGAAGCCTTCCACTACTCCGATTGATGCAAACCAGCCCTTCACAGATTCCTCGTCTTGAGAGCTTTCTTTGGGTATCTCACACGCCTTAATTGGATTGGTATAACTCGAGATGTCAACCAAACAGTCTCAGCACTCTCACAGCTCGAGTTTACAGACCACCACTCACTTCAGCTCGATTCTGGTAAGATAAGCTCTCTCTCCTCGAACAAAGACCACTCAATTGAGATACTAGACTTCAAAGGCTATCCAAGTACAACTCCCATAATGAGCGGAGACAACCAGCACACAATTTTGTGCGAAAATAGGGATGGTGGCCCAACATTTGATTCCTATCAAGTCTTGTGCAGCTCCTCTCCATGGTGGTCGGCCAAGGTAAGTTTCCTAACCCATTTTTATTTGTCTTTCAGGTACTAATATCATGTGGAGTGGTTCCTAATTGATCCCAATCATTTTGGGATCCAAACTATCTACCAATACTTCCAAAAATGGGGAAAATGGGTCCTATTGTTTTATCTTTGTCAAAAGATGTCTTTTTGTACTCATCCTAATTTATTTAGAACAAGTCAACTTCCTAAATCACATTATTGATCTCCAATATGTGTAGGCTCATCCCAATTATTTACATGATGGACATTATAGAAGGACAATCCTATTCCCATTATTTAGCTCAATAATGTCAAAGATGGGATCATAGGCATTTGTATTCATCTCAAATCATCCTATCACTTATTTTGACATTTGTTATCCATATTATCGGGCTACTAGCCGTGTGGGTCGCCCCCGAGTGGGCCTGCGACGCCGTCCTCGAATACTTGCTATTTTAGCGGGTTGAGCCCAAAATAATATCTGGGCTGCCCGCCCTTCTTCAACTTGTCCTGAAACGTTATGTATCGCTACTTAGATAATGTTAGGCTCTTTTATTTATTAATAAGGCCCAAATGAGTATTCACAAGCCCGACACTAATATGCGAGTTCGGACGGTATAATAATCGATCATTAATTACGTAAAATCATCAATCATTTACAATTGTTTGGGAATCAGAAATTCAATACGTAAACTTTGAATTTTTAACTTGAATTTTTCAAGGACGTTCGGGTGCGGTGTCACACAAGTAATTCACCCATTTGGGCGAAGCGGGCATCACTTTCATCATTGTCCTCATCGGTGTATGTGTCACCCCCATCATATGGGGTCTCCTCATGCTCCGTTTCTGGAACGTAGGTTGAGTCATAGTCCTCGGTGTTGGTTTCATACACCGAGCTTACATGGCCATCACTCACAGTTTGAGCTTGATGACCTCCACGGCTTCCACGGCCTCCACGGCCTCCCCTTGAACCCCGAGATGCAGCCCGGCTTCCCCTTTGGGATGCTACCGGCGCTTGCCCCCTCGGATTGTTCCTGGTCCCCATTCGCCTGCCCTCCATTTCTGAAAGAAATATGGATGAGTCGTTAGACTCCTATAAATGTCAATTGACGGAAGAACGTTACAGACACGTATTGGCCCAAGTCACTACCATACCAATTGTTAAGGGTACCGTCTTAACAATTAGAGGCCTTGCAACTTAAGCACCAATAGTCCTATAAACGTCAAAATACAATGCTCATGGTTTTCGGTAAAAACTCTTTTGTAAAATCTTTTGTGAGAGGTTGATTATATAGTTTAGAACTGAGATGGCTCTGATACCACTTAATTGTCACGCCCCAGACCGCAATCCAAGCGCGTGTACAACCTCCGTATAATCAAGTGACGTCACCCGCGAGTCAACCTCACTTAATTACACAAGGCGTCCGAGAATATAATCCATCCATACTCAGTAGTAAACATACATAACAACATCACATTTAAACCAATGAATAGCAGAAATATTCAACGGTAAGTCATAAGCCACAACCGGCCAACAACATGAGCATGCAAGCCCCAAAAAAATAGTTTATAGTAAGATAAATATCCATGAGCATGTGTTCGGTAGTTTGAAAGAAAATAAGGAAGCACGAACCACGTCTCCCTGATTTGATATCACCCGTGAGAAGGTGCAAGTAGCAAGCTCTAGCTTCAACCTGAAAATGGTGGGCCCCCCCGAAGGGGTCAGTACAAGTACCGAGCGAGTAGCAGGCTAAATATAGAATAACTAGCGTTTCAAGTATAAGACCCAAACATAGGATGATACTTAAATAAGTAATCTTTCCCCCAAGTTATGAAATACTTATTAGTATATATATACTTGGAAAATATCTGATCCGTAGATTTCCATTTTTATTTGGGAAAAATAGTAATAGTCAATATCCTTGACTTAAATCTCAACGCACCCATATGCCTATTGTAAGGAATAAATGTAATTAGATTTTGATGATGCTAGGATAATTGGATTAGAATTTTAAAGTAACCCTATTAGATTTTATGTATTAGAATTTTCAGTTGTAAGTATTAGTGTAGTCGACGATCAGAATTGCTCTCTTATGGATCTGATCAGAGCTGCTCTATGAGAACTGCTATCAGAGTTGCTCTCGGGAAGTCATGAGAGTTGCTCATCAGAGAATCATCTGAGTTCGATGAATCCAACTGTATCAGAGCTGCTCTTCATGAAAGCATCAGAGTTCCGATATCAGAGCTCGACTCCAAGTTGTATCAGAACCTCTTATCTGAAAGCCATCAGAATCCAACATATCAGAAGAGCCCGATCAGAGTCCGACTGACACTTAGAAGATTTTCAAGGCAACTTCCAATGGCTGTGAATCCAACGGCTAGAAGATTGTGCATGAAAGGAAAGCTCTTAAATGCACATTAAATGAGCCTGATACGCTTTGGATTGATTGCAAATGATCGACCGAGAAATCTGGAAGATATTTTATAAAAATAGAAAGCTTCCAAATTAGTGGGTCAAGTCAACAGTACGCGCATTTAATGCAGTTGTCTCCTCCTCCAACGGGCAGACAACCCCAGTATATAAGCTACACACTGAAGAAACAGGAAAATAACTTTGCTACAACTTTTGCTCGACTTAACATACAAAAAGTTCTCTTGAGATTCAAAGCTCTACAATCATCAACAAGACAAGCTTACGTTGGGAAGATTCAAATATCCATATCCTCTAATCCCAACAGACAGCAAAGTTCATCCTGCTCTTCAACGAATCAAGTTGGAGAAAACTCTGTTTTCAGAACATCTTCTGCAAAGAAGGGCGTCCAAGTAACTGCAGTAGTGAAGTGGTGATACTTCCAGGAACCTGAGTGAAAGGACCAGTCATCAGGAAGCAGGACTGCATCCCGGGTGACAACTAGGCTTGAAGAAGGCGTGGAGAACTTCTTAAGTGCTAGGGGACTAAGCTTTGTAACCGTTTACTTCAAAGCTAGTGGAACAGTGGACTAGAGGAACGCGTTGTTCCTTGAACCACTATAAAAACTCCGGTGTCATTTACTTTACTATATTTACTTTCTGCACTTAGGATTTTAACTGTTTAACTCTAAGACTTGGAATCTGTGTTCAGCAGATCTTGTTTTCAGAGTTATCAGAAAGGCATTTGCCTTAGTGTTTGTTTGAGACTACCCGGAACTCTTATCCGCTGCAAGACCAGTTCTGATCATCAGAACTCGACCCTCTCTGATAAGTCAACTCTGACTTAGAGAAAAGTTGAAAAACTTGAATCAGTCTATTCACCCCCCCCCCCCTCTAGACTGATTACCAACTCAAACGGGACCAACACCTATGAGTGTATAGAACTCCTCCTTGTTCAAGTAAAATATCATAAGGACACCGCCCGGTCCTAGATCATTAAATGAAATCTATGAGTTTTGAGGATACACACTCGATCCTTGGGTACTCCACCCTATAACCGAGTTTTGAGGATAACCACCCGATCCTTGGGTACTCCACCCTATATAACCGAGTTTTGAGGATAACCGCCCGATCCTTGGGTACTCCACCCTATATAACCGAGTTTTGAGGATAACCGCCCGATCCTTGGGTACTCCACCCGACCTATGACTTACCACATATCACACTAGATAGGGTCTATATCATATTTAACCATTCATAACTAATTCAATACATAAAACTTATGTATCACATTCCATGCAAAGCCATGCAATTATGTAAATGTATAATTAATTAATACCAACCGATATTAATTAATCCATTATTCATCGGTCAACGTTGTCGTTGACCGCCAATTCAAGCCTTGTACATATCAACTTAATCATCATAATATTAAATTAATAATACTCATTTGTGCTTCTTTTACACTTCAAGCTAATATGCATTTTATAAAATTCCTCATATCATATTTCATGCATAAACAATTAATTCTTTTCATACAACTTAATCATGTTGGCTAATCACATGTTTAAATATCTTTTAAACATCATAATGAACACATATAACATTTATTTAGGTAATCTCATAATTTACCCAAAAGTTATAAGATATTAAGCCGTCCACTCACCTTGAACTAGCGTATGAAGTTCGACCCTTCTTGGTTGAACTCCGGTGAAACTCCGGCGACTTTTGGTCAACTCCGGCGACAATTCCGGCGACTTTTCCAACTTTGTGAAATCACTTGAAATACCCTTTACAAGTGCCTAACAAGGTTTTAACATCATAAAACCTTAATCAATACAAATAACCTATAAAAGGTTATTTTCCGGTGAACCGGTCGTTTTGGCTTCTAAGTCCGTTCTTGGACATAGAATCACTTTCCAACCCATGAATCCATACTTATAACATATGGAGCCATACTAAAGGTTCTTCATATGATATATACTTCATATGGTAGAAGAAAAATAGAGAGGAAGTTATAATAAGGTCATTACCTTAATTATTTCACACTTTTAGCACTTTAGCTCCTTTTTGGGTGATTCTTCCTTGATGAGCTCTCTTCAACAACGGAGGAAGGAAGAAGAAGGGTTTTCTTTCTCTTTTTGCTGCAGCTTGGCCGAAATGGGGGGAGGGAGAGGGGTGAGGTATACCCATTTGTCTCATTGAACAAATGAGTGTGGATGGGGGCCACCTCATTTTTGTTTGATGCCATAAAGATCAAATCAAGGCCTCCTCCCATGTTTCTCTTCTCCTATCAGCCGGCCAACCCCTCCAATTTGAGTGTCAAAAACGTGGGT